CTACATTGAAAAAACAACATAGGAATATCTGGCATGAGCCATGATGCTAAATAACTTCTTGTCTGAGAAGTGAAATAATCAGCTTTCTGTTAGAAGGGGGAAACTTCATACAGCAAGAAAAGCAGCCTCAGCCTTTCAATTCACCTTGGGCCTTTACTTTGTAAGCTTATCTGTAGCAGATAGGCACTATAAAAAATTAGTTGAAGAGCCTGGCTTAAAACCCATTGAGGTCAGATTACCTCTGTAAGCTGCAGGAAACAATATAAAGCACAAAACCTTCTAAATATTTACCTCAATCTTTTGTGGAATCAAGCACGGGCCTGAAATTTGAGGAAGACCCAGTTGTCCAAAAGAGTTTGACCCACAGGACAACACTAGGCCAGATCCTGCAAAAAAAGAAGTGTTAGGACAGGATCAGTAAAGCCAAGAGCAATAGCACTGTAACATTATAACAAGCACAATAACACAGCCAAGCAGCTCAAGAAATTACCTAACATGTCCCCTTACAAAGCCCCTGAGGCCAAAGACTTCCGGTCTGACACACCATGTCCAGAAAAAAGTCTCAAGTTCCCTGGGACACAAGGAACAGAGATTGATTTAGCTTGCAATGAAAGTAGCTTAAAACCTGTGAGTGCCAGCACGTGAAATCATAGAACAGTCTGGGCTGGGAGGGACCTAAAGATCATCCAGCTCCAACCCCCTCTGCCACAAGCAGGGACACCTTCCACTATCCCAGGCTGCTGACAGCCCCATCCAGCCTGGCCTTGAACACCTCCAGGAGTGGGGCATCCACAGATTCTGAGACAACCTCTGCAAGTGCCTCACCACCCTCACAATAAAGGAATTCCTCCCAATAACTAATCTAAACCTGTCCTTTTCCAGTTTAAAGTCTTCACCCTTTGTCCAATCACTACAAACCCCTGTAGAAAGTTCCTCTGCAACTTTTCTGGGGCTCCTTTACAGTTCTGAAGGGTCACTCCTATCACAGATGTCCCAGGGCAGGTGCAGCCTTTAGTTTATGATGGGGCTGTGCTGCTTTCTGACCACAATGCACCATACAGTACAATTACAGGGGTGGTAGTTCCTTTGCTAAATCTGTGTCTGACGTGCAAAATACAGAACACCATGGCTTCAGTTGTGCCAGTTTAATCAAAGTAGGTAGTACCTTAATATTCAATCTGCTCCACTGATGTCAGAGATATTTATCATGTGGATGGGACTAGTCAAGTAAGGTACTACTAAGATTGATTATGGATGTCACGATTGGGTACTTGATAATGAGCTGCAAGCAAGTTCTGAATCCATTACTCTTAGAGAATTTTTGAATGTGATCATCAGTAGTATTTGCTATAAAGTGAAAGCCATCTTTCAAATATGTCAGTTTTCAGAGAATGCCTAAATCCCGATTTCATTGCTAAACCAACTTCCATATAAAATTAAGAGAATTTGTCCAGGGTTAGGAACTTCTCCAAACTGAACAGCCCCAGCTCTCTCAGCCTTTCTTCACAGGAGAGGTGCCCCATCCCTCTGATCATCTTTGTGGCCTCCTCTGGACTCACCCCAGCAGGTCCCTGTCCTTCCTGTGCTGGGCCCCCAGAGCTGATGCAGCTGCAGGTGGGCTCTCAGCAGGGCAGAGCAGAGGGGCAGGACCCCCTCCATGCCCTGCTGCCCGGGGCTCTGGGTGCAGCCCAGGACACGTTTGGCTCTCTGGGCTGGGAGTGCCATGGCTGGGTCGTGTCCAGCCTCTCACCCACAGCACCCCAAGTCCTTCTGGGCAGGGCTGCTCTGGATCTGTCCATGCCCAGCCTGTGCTGGTATCAGGGGCTGTCCTGACCCAGCTGCAGCCCCAGCACTTGGCTTGGTTGAATATCCTGAGGTTGCCATGAGCCTCTTCTCAAACTCATCCAGGTCCCTCACATCACACAAGCAATAGCATTGTGGAACTTTCAGCGTGTTCTCTACATCTAGGTATTTCTTCAGCTCTTAGAGAGAGAAGGATTTACCTACTAATAGGATTGTAAAATCCCAGCCACATGCAACTTGTTTTACACGAAAGCCAGACAGGGCAGTGCACAAAGTAAAACTCAGCACATCCTCTGTGTGATTCAATCCCAACTGCCCATCTTTGTTGTGGCCACATACAAAGAGTTGTCCTGCACCTGGAAGAAAAACAAATAAACAAATTGTGTTCCACTTCACAGACTGAAAAGAGAAAGCTGTATCTGTGAGATCTTGCAATAAACAAGGACAATGATTATGTGTCACTTTAGGCACTGCAATCAAGCAAAATTAAGAGTAACAGTTGTTTCTAATGTATCAGAAATATCTCTAAATAACTACAGCTGTGGAGAGCTGGGTCTGTCAAGGGACACAATCCATATGGTGAGACAGGCACCTCTCACACCAAGATGCTTTTTTTATCATGTTCACATCTGTCTGTACTCCTTCTTTACTAAAATTAGCTGTGGCATACAGCACAACCTTTCAAGGGCCAGATGTTATGTCCTGGTCCTTACCTTAACACTTCTTAAGACTGAATAACCTCTGACCCCTCCTTCCCACCCCCCATCCTCAATACAGAAAATCTGGCATCTTTGTATGAAAGAAACAGCTGAAGAAACAGTCCTCACGCAGCCACAAAAGAACCACACAATGTATGAGCAACAGGAATTTCCCCAATTTCCCCAAATATTGAGTTAACTGGAAAGAGAGGAGGTTGTTTTGCAACTAAGGATTGCACTTGCTCAGAAACAGCAGCCACAGAGAGGTGGCAGCACTGAACCAAGAGGGAAACACACACAAAAAAACCCCAGTGATTAAAAGCCAAACACCCCGTGTAAGAGCAGTGTTTTTACCAGTTATAACTGCAGAATGTCCCCCTCCTCCAGCAATGCTTGCGATGTCTTGACATTTGCAGGAAACATCTTGCAGGGCCTGAGGAACAAGCACATCCTCTTTATGGCCAAGACCAAGTTGTCCATAGCTGTTTGCACCCTTCAAATGCACACACAAAAAAGAACACATTTTTTGAAAAGTTAACAAAAGAAGCACGCATATGCTCCCAGGACAAACCACATATTTAGGATATACCACGTGTTAACTTGCTCCTAAAAATCGCCTGATATGACATAGGATTCCCAGGATTACAGACCAGGACTACCCTAACTTTGCTATCATTTAGGGTGCCTGTGCAGCCCCAATATTTCAAAAAGCATACTGGAATACAACCTCTTAAAGCTTTAGCTGCAGACTCACAGTTAATAAGGAGAAAAACATTTCTGTCAGGGTGATTATCACACATTTGTTTTAATGCCAATGATTCCCACTCATCACTAAGGTCTTATTCATGCCACTGCTTTCTGGCAGGCTACCTCCAAAATGAGAGCAGAAAGACCTTTTTTTTGAAACCTAAAAAAGTAAATCAGAAACATGTACACCTCCTTAACTAAATATTTTATATTAAAGAGGTCCAAATGAAACTATACTAATGACAGGGAGTATAAATATATAAGCACAAAATAGTACACGGTAGGTGCTAAACCCACCATGGAAAGCAGCAATTGTCAACGTGGTAACAAGTCAGGGAATTTCTTAGTCAATTTCAGCTCTGTGTCCAGCACTTCAACCTTCATTCACAAAAAAAGGGGGTACCATAACCTTCCCCATCCCACACACAACAGCAACACTCCAACTCCACAATGCTCACAGCTGCAAATCTCCAGAAAATACCAACCCTACCTCACCCGTGCACCCATGTGCTCTCAATTTATCCTCCACCTCCCCCGAAAGATGCAGCACCTGGTGAGTGTTAAAAGATCGCATTCAGCAATAACCGCTTTACACCTGCAGAAACACGGACATTTCACACAGAACCAGCGGGCTGCTGGCCCCAGCCCAGAGCCATCCGGGGGCTGAGATGTCGGGAGCGGAGCTGCACAGGCACATCGAGTTGTTGTCTCACAGCCGCTGATGCGCACTTTAGAGCGTGGTACTACTTAACAGGCGCAATTCCTAAAGGATGTGTCACAAGCTCCCGTTTGCGCCTGTAACTCAAGCCTTCAAAGCCAGGCAAGCCGCGACGAGCTGCAGGAGGACCCGAGGGGCTGGGAGCCACACGGGGGTATCCCAACATCAGCATCATTCCAGCCGCCCTGCCCGGGAGGGCGAACCGGCACCAGCCCGGCCCCGCGGGGCAAAGGGGCTGGGCAGCGTGAGGGATGCCCCCGGCACGGCTCTCACACCCGCTGTGCCCGCCAGGTGCCACCGCGGCCCCGCTGCCCCGGGCCCAGCGCCGCAGCGTGCCGGCAGGGCGAGCGGCGGCCCCGCCACCCTCCCGCCGCCCGGGCAGCAGGAGATCCCGGCCCGGGACCCCCGGGCCGTGCCGAGGGCCCACTCACCCAGGCGAACAGCTGGGGCTCCATGGGATGGGCCGGCGCTTCCCGCCGCCCGCGGGCCGGGCAGGAAGGGGCGGGCACGGGGCGGGATCACCCGAGCCGCGCCGGGGAGCGCCGAGCGAGGGATTCGTGTTTATGTCCAAAAAACGGACACAGAGGAGTCCTGCAACTTTATGCGAATAGAGGGTCCACCGTGGCACAGACCTGTGGGATTTTTCTCTCTCGCTTTCAGAGGGAACACCCGCCTTTTACCTAAACTCCCGGCCGCATGTTGCCTTCCTCCTTTCCCCTCAGGCACCAGGAAGGCGCAGCCTTTCCGAAGCGCCTACCACATATCCTGCCTCGAACGCGCTGTTTTTCCCTAAAGTTCGGAAGTTGAGGCTTGTGCAGACCCATGTCCGTGTCAGGAGTTGAGCTGCCCTGGCTCTGCAGCAAACCCGCTGCCCACAACCAGCAGAGGCTTTGGGACCCATTCCAATGACATCTTTGGGACCCATTCCAATGACATTTAACGCCCACACCCTCACCCAGCAAATTGTAAACACATGAGCTTTCCTCCCATGTTTATTGCTACGGTGCCGAAGTAAAGGGCTTTGGTGCTCCTGATAATTATCAGCAACTCCTTTATTTCGTTGACATTTAAGCCTCCACAATGGTTTAAAGTACTTAAATTATCATCGTTTTACAGAAGGTTTGGGTGGGCGAAGCCAAGCACGCACGTTGTTAGTTGCCGCGGAAATGCGTCGCTTCGGTATTACTTCTGGCAGTTTACTTTTTGTTTTGCTACACAAATGCAAATAAAGATACAACTGCTGGTTTTACAAAGTACTTGAAAGTAGGTGCTACTTTAAAAAGTTTAAGAACTCCTACCTGAAACATATACATAGTTCAGACAAGTCTTGAAGTAACACAGACCTACGTATATTTCAACAACATCAAAAATCCAATGTTGTTAAAACTGTAGCTGAATATTAACTGTTATCACAGAAGCAGACAAAACAAATCCTCCCTTACTACTCACTTAGAAGAACATTTCTTCTTTAGAAAGACAAAGTTCCTAAAATCTATTTTTAAATTAAGTGCAATGTAAGCCATAAATATTGTAGACCATTATTCTACATCTTAAATGCTCTTTAAAACAAAGTTATAGTGGGTTAATAGACACAGAAAAGACAACCTAGTCTTGATTTAAACTGTGAGTATTCTTGGAAAGGTTGGCCTGGCAATTGCTTGTGGAGCAGAGGTGTCCTACTGGAAAGCATATTAAACTCAAACTAATTTTCAAGAAGAGGTTTCATGAAAGTCCTTTCAAGTTCTCAAAATCCTGGACTAGCATCTCCAGTGTATTTAAGATTTCAGATCATTCTTCCAGCACACTTTCTGGATTTCCTGATAAGATCTACATATAAAAAAAAAACAGACTCTAGGGTGCTGTTAAATGCACCCTGCACATCACAGATCCCCCCTATTAAATACACCCTGCATATCACAGATCCCCCACTCAAATGTCTCACATCCTGCACACGTGTCCATGCCAGAACAGGTGAAACAGAAGCTTTGCACTCCCTGCAGGGTGCTTGGAACTGGGGAACTCTCGACACAGGCAAGTTTGCTACTGTGCAATGCAGGCAATTCAGCAGGACACTGCTTGCCTACGTTTCTAAAGTGCTTTTTGGGATCAGGTACACTTTACACTACAAGGTAGTTTGTTGCTTTTGTAGCCACAGAATTCCTATGAAATGCTTGGGTGTTTAAATTATAGTTTGATAAACAGGGAATGAAGGTGTTCAGGTCAGGTAAAGAAGAAACTAAATGTATATTTGTGCAGCTTGTACAGGTCGAAAAAGTGACTGAGCAATCAACAGGATGTTTATTTTTGCATAAAGCACACTGGTCTATGAGCTTTGGGTGTTATTTTAAACTTTGATGTTATTTTAGAGCTAATTAAGCTATTTTGAATACAAAGTTGCAGTTTGGAAATGGTTTTGGGCTTCATGCTAAGTCAATGCTTGATGGCTTGCTGTATTTTTTGCTAAATTAATTCAATCAGGAAAAAGGCAAATGCTATCTCTGTAAGGAAAGGTCTTCCCTCAGGTGCAATAGCAAGGACAGCAACAAAAACCCTGGCTCTTAGCCAATAGCAAATAGCTTAAAATAAACATAATTAGGATTTCATGCAACAGCTGTATCTCTGCCTTATACAAAAAGCATGCCAAACATCACATTTGCAACTCTTTGTGGCAAGAGTAATCCCTTTGAAAGCAAGATTTGACCCCTTCCTTTTATCATGTTGAACCTCCAGCTATTTGTGTCCTGATGCCTGCATTATAATCATTCAAGTCTCAAACTAAGTAGCACAGACTTTGAAACAATGAATTACCACAGCTTCTATGCTGTCAAGTCTTCAGCACTCTACAATCAGTAGCATAGACTGCTGGAGTCAAAAATTGAATTCTCCCTAGGGTGAATTACTCCTTTTTCGCCTCATAAGCCACCTCCTGCAGCACCTGTTCCCAGCCCTGATCCACAGACCACTTTTTCTCCCGTCTAACAGTTTCTCCATCCCCCTACAAGCTTCTAAAAGGCAACTCTGGACCTTTTTTACCTAAGGGGGATGGAGGAATGCATTTATGTGAGGAAATTTACAGAGAGCAACCAGATAAAATTGTTGTATTCTTATGGGCCGTTCACTCTTCCATGTGTAAAGGAGTGAGTTCTGCATGCAACACATCATATGCCTGGAAAAATAAATCAGTGGGGAAAGGGAAGAACTGGCTTGCAGCCCAGTGCTGGCAGGGTGTTAAACTTCCAGCTGCTTGCCCATCTTGCTGAGGGCATCGCTGACAATGTCCAGCTCATGGCGCAGCTCGTTCACCACGCTGGCGATGCTCTTCGTGTCTTTCAGGACCTGCACACTCTGAGTGTAGGGATTGTACTTCACCCCAAAAGGGCGCTTGATGGTTTTTGCAAACTCTCTATAGAGGTTAAAAAAAAAAAAAAAAAAAAAAAAAGAGTGTGCTATAATCAAAAGAGGGTGTTATAAATAAGACATAAACCACAAATGCATTCTCTGTATGCAGCCAGTATCAATAACCACTTTTTTAAAGTACTTAAAAAGCAGTCCCCACCCAGTAGCTGAAAGACTAAGAAAATACTAACCAAAATTCTTTTACTGTGAAAAATAGTTAGAAAACTGTGATAAGACTAAAAGGTTTTGGTGCTGCTACACCACATTTTTTATAGAGATATAAAATCAAATCTTCTTTTATAAAAAGAAGGGGGGTGGGGAGGGGGAGGCAGAATCTGTACCTCATCTTTTCCTTTGCTTCTTCAAAACTTTCAGAAACAAAGTAAACCTCCTGGAAAGTTGTAATGATACATTCTTGCTTGCAGGTGACCTTTGGATCAAAAGGTTTGACTTTGGCACTGTCAGAGAGTGAGTGCTGGTAAGGTGTTACCGTGGGTCAGAGGAACATCACCATCCAAAGAATCCAGGAGGAAGATGACATGTGATAAAGTGAATAAAAAGGATTATATTAGATGATTTTAATGCATCATGTTAAAATTTTTATCTGCAGATGGACAGTGATTAAAGCCTAATACACTGAATTATCTGTACAGTCATATTCTGCCAGTCTGGGTGAGAAAAGGGACTCCACAGACACAAGGCTTGTGTATAAACAATGTTTATACACAAGATTTGTGTATAAACAAAAGTAATATTTTCAGAATCTGGTTAAACCAACAAAGCTTTGATCTGAAAATACTTACCTGGACTATAACATCAAGAAATCATACTTCATAAAAAGCAGGGGAAGACAGTGGCAATAATAATGAGATACAAAGAAAAGAGGCAAACAAGCAGTAGCCATTCTTACCTTGAGCTCACTAATGGAAGAGAGCAAGCCAGCCCCATAAACTCGTAGCTGCCCCTCTTGCTTGCACAAGCCAAACTCTACCGTGAAGAAGTAGCACTGAAAGAGAAGCAAGTAAAAGAATTCAGCCTTCATCAAAGATGCTGAGGTGAACTAGATGGGAGGTAGCATTGTGGGTAGCATCAAAGAGTTGCAAATGTCAGATAGTTGTCACTCAGTTATCCTGAGACATTTAGAGAGGAGGAAAGCCAGAATGAAAGGATGAAGAACCACAGGATTGAATGTTTCTCATAAGAAAGGTGGATGTTATAGATCACCCAGCTGGGCTGGAAGATGCTAATGCCAGTGCAAACATCGAGGTGTAAATCTGTTTTGAGAAATACTGACATGAAATCACAGCCTCAGCTTAAAACAAGCACTGGATAGAGAGGATCTCTGAGTGCGTGAGAACAGCCCACTGCAGTTAGTTTCTCATTTGCTTAGTGTGCTGTAAAATTAAAGACATTCTGTTTGCTGAATTTCAGGATTTCTGCAGCTATACAGGAAGGAACACTGTTTTCATAGATGGCTTATTTCTGCTCCCACTGAAGGTAGTACAAGTTCTACCACTAGCTACATGACACTGGAAAAGAAATTTTAAAAATCAGCAAGCTAGTTCTTGCATAACTGGCACCGATTATTTTTCATCAAAATCTACTTTTAATCTTAAAAATACTCTTGCTAAGGCATCCAGAGGCTGATATCCAGAAAATTAGTTTAGTTTATATTATTTTAATTTCTTGACTGAAAGGTATCTAATGCTAGCACTCACCATATTCAATACCATATAATTTCAATTCATTCTACACATTAAAGAAATATAACACTTTCAAATCATTGAATCATGTTCCCAGAAGAAATAAGACTTTGTCTGAAAGAAATAGACCATAAAATTTCAGTCTGCAAGAAGTAAGCTATTACTAGAAACTGAACCATTACTTGACAGCAGAGTGAAGAAAAATACCAATCATTCCAACTTTAAAGTGGGTTTTTTTTCCTAGCATGGAAAATTTTTTTCATGCTTTAAAATCCAGGGACCAGTGCAACACAAAGATCTAGCAGCTGGTGTGGCTAACATGACTTGAAGTTCCGAATTTATTTGATGGCATGGGATCAGCCTAGTAAAGTACAAAGCTTTTGATAGAATCCCCAGGCACTCAAACACTCACTGTTGCCAGTTTTTGGACAGCCTCATCTGATGCCCCAAGTGATGCAAGACCAATTTCCTGGGAGAACTGAGCAAAACTGGGTTCAGCCAAAAGAGGGACGTGGCCTAGGAGCTCATGGCAGGTATCACTGGAAAAAGAAACAAAGCAAGAAATCTGATTTGTCTTTGTGGCAAAGTGAAAAAGCAGCACCACTGAACAGATACAATGTCTTGCATTGAACTTCATTACCCAAAAGACAGAAAAGTGTCACCCATTTCTCTGAAAGCAACAGAACAGATCATACCAACCCTATATAAAGTGCACAGAATCAGATTTTCAAATGAAGATGCCTAAAATTAAGGTCTGAGCTCCCCATTTGCAAATTAAACTAACTGCACACAGTGATATCAGTAAAAGCTCTCCAATAGCAAGCTGTACTTTTGAAAATCCTGCACTTATGAAGGTGGCACTTCAGCATACTGTAAATTCATTACATTCAGCATGAAGGCTGAGTCTTCAGCACCTTAAAAATAAGTTTTATGCTGGTGTTCTTGGACAGCTTTTAAGTAACTTGGCTCTGGGCAAGCAAGATTCAAAACTTTCTCACAAATTCTACCCCAGGATTGAACGACTCACGGCTCTGGTGTATAGAGAGGGTCCGAGCTGTGCCGGACATATTGAGTGCAGTGAAAAACTCGGAATGCTAATCCTGCCAAGAAGTCTCTGGGTGACAGATATCCAGCCACGGGGCGAATGGTGAAGCCTGTGCGCTCTGAAAGTGACCAGACAAACTGTATATTAGTTTTGCACAGGATGCACAACGTTGTCAGCTTTCCTGCTGCAGCTGAGTTGGCAGCCACAGCACTACCTTGGCTCAAAAGCATGTAGGAAAATGAGGCACAATTAGAAAAATTAGGTATGGGCTTGAGAATGAGCAATGTTTTTTAAAACGGCCCTACCTCTGTGCCAGTGGATTTCCTAGGATTCCATGCCTAGAGTCAACAATACAGCCAGGTATCTCCTTAGCCAATCCTAACAATCTTTTCAGACACTGCCCCTCACATATCACTGCATGCACTGAAGACATGGTACATTAAAACACAAATGGCCGAAAGGCCTCTTAAAGGACCAGAATGAATACAAATCACCAAGAATGTTTCTTTGTGCCTACAAAATAGTGGGATTTGCAGTGGACCTCAGTTTATTTTGAAAATCAGAACATTTTAGAAAACAAGCACATTACCTTTCAGGAAGCGGGACACATCTTCCAGCTGGGGGATATTGTCTTCCCTGTACCCACAGTGTTTGGTGAGCAAGGGCAGGTTTTTAAGGTACTCTCTGCAGGCATAAGTTGGGTAAAGATTGTTAAGCTCTCGGTACACAATCCCCCAAGTCTTGATCTCCTCCTCAGTGAATTCAATCTTGGGGATTGGGTCACCACTGCAAGGAGAAGAGGAAGAAAGGAAGAAAGGACACTCCTTAGAAAATGGCTAATAAGAGGTGAGTCATTTACCTACTATTAGTATTTAACACCTGTATGACTGTGACACCTGGCATTAGACTCTGTCAAATACACAGTGAGATCTGGTCTATGTCCTGGAATGCTTTTAGTCTAAGGATTTTCCTTTTTTTCTCTTTAACCACTTGTCAGGAATCTTTGCATAGACCTCACTTAAAGCATTGGTTCTGTAAACAGTTTCTTAATTGTTTAATGCCAAGAGTAAGGTTTAAAAGACCTACACAATCTCTTCACAGCTTCAAGAGATGATAACACTTCCTTTTCCATGTTGGATTTCTAAGTCTGCAATTATTTTCCATTACCCTTTTAATTTGTTTTAGGAAAAGAGAACTCCCTAAATGAACAACACATTGTGTGACAGCAGCTAAATATACACATCAGGTAAAAATCATGCTTCTGTGCAGAGGAGACCAGTGCCTGTCTGAGCATATTAATTTTAGTCTCTCTTTCCTACTTAGTCCTTAGGACCTTAGACAAAGTGGATTATGGCAAGGCCAGTGTTACACTGTGTTTCCACTGCCAGCCAGGGAACTGGCATGGAAAATGCTTTCCCAAGGGAATATCTGTCAACAGCACATTGACAGTAATCAACTTGGGATTGTAGTAACCAGTTGCATTAAACACACAGTGCAATAGAACTCTAAATACAGACCTTTTCTAGGTCATTTTCAGTGGAGAAACTTGACACCTAAATTCAATCAGGCCGCATGAAAATCACGTTTAGAAAGAATTTATAGCACTGGGTTATGAATCTCTTACTGCTTTAAAAGCTCCACCCCACACCAAGAAGCCTCTCTAAAGACAGAAGCTGTTAGAATTTCTTTGCATAGAAAACTTCTTATCTACACATCACACATGCTAGTTTGAACCAGGAAAGAAAATTCAATTATTAACATTTGCTCAGAAAGTTTACTCTCAGTGGTCACTGGGCTGTACAATGGGATTTGCCTCCCCTTCCTCTAATTTGCAGAGCAGCTGGCCAAGCCACACAGCCTCCGACTGACCAGAGCTGCATTGATCTACCTTCTCATCTTGCCCCACATCTTCCTTCCCTTCACCTCCTTGGCTCTGATCCCTGAGCTGAACCTGCATGTCTCAGCCTGATCTGAGCCCAGGAAGGTGAGCTCCTCACAGCCCATTCTGCTGTTATTTCAAAGCACCCAGAAGGCTTCTTCTGGAAGAATTCAAGCTTACTGTTTGTAGTTCATAGCCAGGTCTGCAAAATACTTTCGCCTCTTGCGATAAACGTTGTCCTTGAAACCCTGGTGGGGACAAAGGAAAGCACAGTTCAATGAGTTTCCAAGCCATAATAAATAAATCAGTTTAAAACAGGACACTTGACATTTCTTCAGCTGGGGAATAGAAAAGTATGATGTGAAAGAACAAAAGGAGTGGGCAGGAAACTCATAGCTGTAGTCTGAAATATTTAATACATGTGAACTGAGCAAATGCTCCAAAGTAGGAATCAGCTGATTTATGCAACTATATATTTTGTAGAGAAGGATTCATTTTAGTCATATCAGTATTTATACAAAGTTTGTTACTTGCATGATTATTCAAAATACAGAACAAATTGCCCATTTTTACTTCCCAAATACCAGTTTGGTTTCTCAGTAAGGAAGAAAGAAAAAGGAGGAAGAAAGCCTGCCTGAAAATAACTTTTTTTCAGCTTCTTTAATTTCTATGTGACTACTCAGGGCCGAGATCTGGAGTTCTTCCACAAATAAGCCCTGCAGAGAAGCACAGGAACTGAATTCAGTCAGTCTTCCCTGAACAAAGAAAGAGACCAAGAGAAGGTGCTCAGACCCCCAGAGACGCCATTGAGGGAGAGGAAAGGGACGAGGAAAAGCTGCAGTTTTTTCAGGCCAGCTCCACAAAATACATTTCCAGCTACTGAGTGGAGGGAGGGAACAGTACTCACAGGATGGTCGGCATCCAAGTCAGACCCGTACATCAGCACCCGGTTTGCACACTTATCCAAATCTGAGATCTTCTTCGGAAACCAGGGAATGTTCTCCATGCCTAGGGAAGGCGTGAAATCCACAGGGTTATTAATAACACCCAGCACACCCAGGGAGGAAATGCCACTTTCAGCTATGGCTGTGGCGGTTACAGCTCGCTCCATATATTAAAGGGGCATCAATAAGACAAGGGAGTCCTCTGCCTATCTGGCACCAGCCTCCAGCTCACACTTCCTCTTCGGTCACTGCCACAGACTGCCTGCAGAGCACAGCCAGCCCCAGAGCCTCTGGCAAGGAAAGTTAGCATGGGTTTTTCTGCTGTAGTTAGAGTAGCATCTAGAAGATCCCATGGAGACAAGGTCTCCTTGTGTACAACTGCTGGGAATCTTGTAGGGCACAAAGGGTGCAAAGGAGAACAGAGTGATTTGTCTGTGGTCCCTGGGCAGAGTGGGGGCAGGTTAGAGTCCTCTCATCATGTTTTACTGACCATGGGAAATGGATGTTTCTCCGTGTTTCTGTACATGGGAAGCATCCAGCTTTGCCTTGAGAGGTATGGGGGGCAGGAGGAGCAGGAGACCCTGCTGCCTGAGAGAGGAGCATCATTACGGCTTTGCTACCAACTACTTTGGAGTATTTTTAGTCTTAGAGAGTTTTTTGCCAAGCCCTTGGCAGAGCAGTTAATACACTGTTTTTCTACCTCAATGCTCTTCAGTTTGCTTAAAAAGGTCAGGAGATTGTTTAGATTGATTTTCCCCTTACTTAGGGCTAAAGTAAGCCATTTTATCCAAGAACCCCAGATCTCTCCTTCCCAAGCACAATGACTGAGAAACACATGGAACCAGCTTCCTGCTGCCCTGAACTTTGGGCATCTCTTTAATTAAAGGTAAACACAACATGCAGTATCTAAATATAAAAGGCACCTCTGTCATACTAATTTAAGTAGCCAGTTATGATTAAAAGTGGGTTAAAAAGACAACAAAATCAAGAACTAAATGAGGAAATTGCAGAATCCATCCTCCACTCTCCCCAGTGTCTGAACTGAAGAGGCACCTGTCAGTATCACACCTCTGCCATCATAGTGTACTCGAGCCCCGCACTCAGACTTTGCCCACAAGCCAGCCTGCTTTGACCTGCAGGGATGCAGGGCTCCCACTGGTGACAGCTGGGCTGTGCTGGGAAGGGACAGGAGCACAGACAGCAGACACACATTTCGTAACAGCCTGACAGAGCCTGAACTCCCTGGTTTAGGCCAGACTACGCTCACACGTAACACAGAAATAGGTACCTGGTAGCAGGAGCCTGAAGACACGGCACAAGTGCAGGTGGGGTCATAAAAAGGTTTCAAACCAACACATTTAGAAGTGCATTTTCATCAGAACTGCCTTTTGTACCTACCATCTTCCTGGACATTGAAATGCTCTGTTGGGCTCACAGAAACGATGTTGACGTGGGATTTCAGGAGCTGGAAAATCTCATTCAGTTGTTCCCTGTTACTGTCACAGTCCACGAAGATCTCAAACTCAGAATTTCGTCTCTTGGACTTCCGTGACTCAATGTGTACCAGATTTACATGCTTCTCCTGTTTAGTAAGAAGCAATGTTCTCAGAGAGATAGGCTAAAAACAATTGACTAAAAGTTAAAATGGTTTTTCAAATTAATATTCTACTGCCATGAACTATTCACCACCTCTGTGAAGCTATTCTAGTTAATTGTATCTCTTGATAGCAATTTGCTTATTGGAGGAGGGGGTTTGATTTTCTACTCAGAAGAAAATGAAAGCAAACCTGTGTTCTTTTGGTTTTATTTACATTCAGGAAGCACATAAAGGAACAGTAAGGAGGTTTAAGTTCATAGACCTTTTTCTTTCATCCTTCCCATAGGAAGCTGATTAGCAAAATTCACCAAAATGCCAATCAAGTCACCATATAATTATCTCACAAGCAAGCAAGGGATTTAAAAGCAGTAGTTTTCAGGACATTAGTTTCACTTTTCTTTAATCTGGAGAATTATTTAATCATGTGTTTTATATTAGGAACGTTGAGAAAACCCCAGGCTAAAGCATGCAGAGCCACACACCAGAGCACAGTGGCACTGCACATATTCCTCACACAGCACCTGCCCAGCAGCTGTGCAATTGCAGCTCCTCTGCCACCTTCAGTCTGGCTGGGCAGTGTGGCAAGGGCACTGCACTGCACACAGCACAGATCAACACCCCAAGTGTCTACCTGCCATCAGCAGGGGCTTCAGTTCTTATTCCCAGCAAAACCACTGAATGCTGATCTTCATGTCATAAGGGGAAAAGACAAACCTCTCTCACTGTATAGTCAGTGCAGATAAGAGTTTTAGCCAGCCATCAACTAATTCTGAGGCATACATTTGCCTTTGTGGATAATTTTGGGTGCCATCCTTAATAAAGAGATGTAATCAATTCTAGTGTTTTCCAAAACTACCCTTGCAATTTAAAAATGCAGAGCTGCTGTGATGATTAAAAGATGATAACATACATACCTGAAAGAGTTTTAATGCTTTTACAAGTCCTCCAACTTCATTCTTCAAGGAAAAAATGATGGCTGTTCTTCCTCTTTCAGATGCATGGTCTTCATTCTCTTTGTTATCTTCAATCATCATGTAAGCTGACTTATTTAACTAGATGCAAACAAATAAAAAAAAATTGTTCGAATTAGTAGAAACACAAAAAGTCTAAGTTTTTACATTTCAGGGTGTCTTGGGCAATGCTATGCTTTGATCAACCACAAAAGAAAAATTATTATTTAAATTATTATGCAATAATAAGAATAAAGTTAGTCACAGAGAGAATTTGTGAGAGATTGAAATACCAAGATATCTTTTTTTTAGTTTAATGATTTTATGGACATCTTTATTCATTCCCTAGGATGCAGAAAGTATTTTTAATGTATAGTTTATAACTAGCATTGCTACTGGGAGGAAGGGGAGCAATAAGATGTCAGAAGAAATAGTATCTTGAACAAAACACTTGTTAGCAAGTTCAGTGAACACTAGCAAAGAGAATAATCCAAATCCCGCAGGACACAGGTAGGAAAAGATGAATCAGGATTCAGTAGATCAGAACTGAAAAATCACTCTCTTGTTACATAACTGTAAAATACTGTTTTCATAGGGTAAGGAGACAAACCTAAGGAGGTAAAATGTTTTTCTGACCAGAATCTGTTGGCTATAAAGACAGTCCCTCTCTGATCAACTACAGCCAAGCGGCTCCATCTGCCATGTCCCCTAATTCGTGTGTCATACCCTTGGCACAATCACCCAAGTCACACACTAAAACACAGACACCCCACACTGTCAGACCATGTGGTTTTGTACCTCACTAGTGATCACACTCCTGACTCTGTGGAAATCAGAAGCTATCACAGATTGTACTCTTAGCTGCATGTAGCCAGGCCATAAATAGAGATAATACTGAAACTGTAAAGAATGAAGAAAATGTGAAGTAAAGAAAAAATACCAGGCTTATGAGCAGAAACTGTCCCTCATATGTCTTCAAATTTTGCAAAAAAGAAAGAATAAAATGAGAGGTTTCTGAATGAGTCAGTGAGAAAGAGGAGAGAAACAAAGAAGCCACATTATTGCTATTTGGAATTACTTTTTGATCTGACACATCTTTAAAGATCACTATCTTGAGACATTTTCAGAAATGAAAAGAGCAAAACAAAAATGCAATCAAAATGCACCAGTTCCTTTTATTCCCTTATACAGTCTTTCCAGCCTTAATGATGTAATGAAAATATTTGGATTTCTGACTGGGTTCCCACTTCTAATGAGTCACCACAATATGATGAGCCTGGACAACAGTGTCAGGCCATCACACTGTTTCTGATCCACCAAAGTCAATTAACTCCATCAGCTTGAGTGCAGACATCAAATTTTCTGCTGGAAGTGTGGCAAGCCCAGTCGGGGCTCGGGTGAGCATTTCCCAGCTCACTTCAGTGTGAGATCACCAGTACAAAAGCCAGGAACAGGCACTGAGCAAACACACTTCAAGCAGAAAATAAAAAGTTACAAATACCACAATCATACAGGTCATTTGTTGTTTTCTCAAGTGTAGAGAGCCATTTGTGTGAGCCAAATCTTATTCAGATGGTGCTGCTGTAGGAGAAGCAAAGAAGTCTCCACTACAAGTAGAGTTAGGTGGTGGTCTTTGAAGGCAATAAATGTAGGGCTGGTTTATAGAAGAGGCTAATATGCAGATTGTTATCTTGACTCCACATCTAGGATCATTGCCTTCAGCCTGGATCAGCCTTTATGACATTTGGAACAGTTGCATGTAATATTATGAGTTGCACAGCTGGGACAGACTACCTGCACCAAAAACTAATGCTCTTCTCTTGTGTTTTGCTGCTGCAGCTTATGCTGTGTCTGGGACCAGGTGGCAACATCTATGAAGTTATGTGTTTAAAAGATCAATGAAGAAAATCAACAGAGCATAGAATGTTCTTATATCAAGCAATTACCTCTAACTTAGAAATTACAAGTTGGACAAGAGAAATTGAGATACTTACAATGCCAAATGCACGCCATATACATATTTAACCCTACACCAAAACTAATCTTTTGCCTTAATTAAAAATATACTGAAGACAATATGCAGCAACCATTTGGGTGCAAGGCAACAGGAGAAAATGGTAATGCAGAAGTAATTCCTTTCCTCCTGTGGCTGCACTTCACTTATATTTTATTCTCCATCAGTAATTCAGCAACTCAGCTCTAATAAAATCTGAAACTTTTCCTTTGCATGGTATTACATTTGGGCTTTTTGAGGGTGAAGGGGGAATTAATATTGCATTGATGCTTTTTATTAATGATGCAAATCACTAACTTATCTTCCACCAGCCTGACTGGGTCTTGATGAAAATACACAGGGATATTCTAAGACCTTTACTTAGATAGATAATTAGGTGCTGTCCAGTTAAAGATTGAACTTTTTGGGACTCATAGCAATTATCTTCCCTTTCTCTCTCTCCCTAAAGGATGTTCACAGACAGAAAGATACAGGTTGGTGCATAGTTGCCTAAAAGAAAAAAAATCACATTTCAATTCATAAATTGAAGATGAAAAATTATTTTCAAAATATTTTATATTGATTGACATTAATAATGATTAATAAAAAATGCCAATGGGTATTTTATATTGGCTTCCCTTTAAGTAGCTGCTTACTTTGTCACTGTCCTTTTGACACGCTTCTAGGGAAGGTGAAGACACGATGTTAGAAGTGACCACAACTAGATATCATATTACATTTTCCAGCTACACACAAGTTCTTTCTAAGATTAAGCTCTCAGACACCAAACCAAAAGCTGTGCTGAGCAGCTAATTTGGCTTCCAATTTGGCTGAGGGATACAGCAAAGAAATATTTTTGTGACACTTTACTGTTAGCATTCTTGTCTTCACAAGGAGTTTTACAGACTTTATCAACTGCACAGTATCAGTAACTGCAGCCAGTGCTGCTTTTATCTGACCTCTGATGCACTAAGCAATTTCCCACTATAATGTGGAATATTATAAACAAAAGGAGTGAGTTTTATAAATAAAGCCAGGAGTGAGTTCTTCTTAGGGCTGTATCACTCTGTCTCCTGTGCAATGATACACCAAAAATTGCTTTTGTTCTACCTTAATTTCATATGCTCGCATTTACAGTGAGTTTTTCTCCCCTCTTTTATCCAGAAACAGCAGCTCCATCCCAATGCCACCGACACCAGAGGAGCCGCACCCCAGGTCTCTCCAATTACTGTTCTCCAGGTAACCGGGGCCAGAAAGCTCCCGGTTTTCCCAAATCCCCGTTCCGAGAACTGCAACAGCGAAGCGCCCGAGCTGTGACTGCACGAAAGCTGCGTTTACTCCGCTAGCCGGGACCGATCCCGGGGCTGGGCAGCGAGCATCCCATCCCGCACTTCCCGTGCCCATCCTTCTCCACTCAGCTGTGTTCATCCCGCTCCTCCCGTGGCCATCCTGCTCCTCCCTTGCCCATCCTACACTTCCCGTGCCCATCCTGCTCCCCTCACCTGTGCCCATCCCACACTCCCCGTGCCCATCGCGTTCCTCCCGTGCCCATCCCGCACTTCTCGTGCCCATCCTGCTCCCCGCATCTGTGCTCATCCCACACTTCCCGTGCCCATCCCACTCCTCCCGTGCCCATCCTGCTCCCCGCATCTGTGCCCATCCCACACTTCCCGTGCCCATCCCACTCCTCCCGTGCCTATCCTGCTCCCCTCACCTGTGCCCACCCCACTCCTCCCGTGCCCATCCTGCTCTCCTCACCTGTGCCCACCCCACACTTCCCGTGCCCACCCGCTCCCCACCTGCCAGCCGGGGTCCCGCGGGCTCGGCGCCGCCTCCAGGGACGCTCCGCGGCGCGGTGCGGGGTGCATGGCCGGGCAGCTCGGGGCAGCGCCCGGCCCCGCCAGCTTTATGCAGGGGCGAGGGCCGCCCCCGAGCGAGGGGAGGGCTGCAGCGAGGCGGGGGAGGCGCTGCCCGGCCCAGCTGGGAAAGGGGCGCCCTGGCCCTGTGCACGATGTTCGCTCGGTTTGCAGAGCAGCGACGCCCGGGCGCGGCCACCACCCGCTCCCCGTCACCGCAGCCCGGAAAAACCCGCGCAAGAAGAAGCCCTTCGCCTCCTCAGTTACACCTCCTCGGTCACCCGGACAGGGTCACCCAAGAGGGGTCACAGGAGACTGACTTCTTGCGGGTAACTCCAGGGGTTTTGCAGGTAACATAAATTTGCACACCATGGGGCTGAGGGGAGCGAGCGTTTCCTCCATCGTGTCCACACAGGCGCTTCCCATCACTCCCGCACTCCCTGTTAAACGCTCAGTATGCTCCTGTGGGATAAGGGAAGGCAAACTGCATCAGAAGGGAGAAGTGGTGGAGGCTGGGCCTGTAGCAGAGGGGCTCTGAGCAAAGTGGCCTCCAAGGCTACAGGGGACCCAACAGCGGTGGACACCTCCAAATTCTCAACAGCACATAGTGCAGGTTGTAGTCCCAAAGAGGAACACAGTGGGCAGATGTATGGAGATCTTCACTAAAAACAGCAGTGCATTTCTGCTGTGAAAATAAATTGCAGCGTATTCCTTCTTTTCTCAAAATCTCCTGTTTTGAGAATAACTACATTTCTATTAGCAGAAAACTACATCTTTTCATATCATTTATGTTGTCATTTATTTTCTGCATATATCTAGATGTGTTTATAGTATAAAGACTCGTGGTTTTTCGACTCCAGTCCTCACTGTCTCATCTCAACTTGGCAACATTGAGATAAGGGGATTTTGGTCCACAGCAGAAGACACAACGTTCCCCGGGAACAAAATCTCTTGGAGATGTCAGGGGTCTCTTGGGGAGGAGAGATTGATTATTTGCTATTTGAGCTGTCCAAAACCAATGACTCTGATCCTTTATATATATATATATATATTTTAATGAACCTTTCAAAGAAATGCTCAAAATCAACAGCAACTAGTTTCACTCGAATACACTCAAGTGTCTGGAAAAATCCCCAGTATCTTTCTCTTCAGTGCTTAAAAAATTTTGAAGTTTTTTTTCAGCTAGATCCCTTAGACACTGGTGTAACACACCTGGTAAATCATATTGATGCCAATATACAGGGTGACACCTAACCCAGGCACAGTCACACCTGCACCAACATCTGCAATGATGATATCAGAGTCCTCCTTCTTCCTAGAAGGATTGAACTTCAAACAATCCTATTTCTAGCTAGAAACAGTGACTAGCTCAGCCCTTCAGACACAGCACAGGATTGAAAGAACATGGCTGTGAATAATGACATAGCTGGAAAAAGCCTTTTTTTTTTTTCCAGTTGGTAATGGAACATATTTTCGTCACCAGATACTTCAATTTTCCCTGCATAAAGAAAATGCAGTATTTATCAATATATGTCTTATCTCTACAACAGGCATTTCACTTCCTTCCTAAAGAATAAATCTCCTCATCAAACGAGCTGACTCAGAAAGCAAACAGTTTGTAGGATTTTTACCCAGACCCCTAAGTGTGTGAGAGCCTGGTGTTAATGACAAATCTGTAAACATAGGCACAGTAAGACACTTATGATAGAATATGACTAACCTGTCAATTTTCCCTAGCTCAAATGAAGCAATAATAATGGGGAACCCACGGGCAGCCTGACCTATAACTGCTGAAACAATAGGAATGAGGTCAGGCATGGCCAAGGAAATTTAACCTAATGTGAAATTTATTAGTTACATAACAAGATAACCGGGGTGCCCAGAGTTTTGGGGAGCAGATTAAAGCTGATTCACTGGTTTAGTAAGAAGTGCTTGTTCACCACAGCCAATGCCCCGTGGTCTGAAAGGGCAGAACCACAAAGCATGAACAGACTCGATTACAGCCTGTTTCCACTGGGTGCTCACTGGAGCCTGCTCTGCTCCTCTCCACCCAGGCTTTCCAGCTCCTAGGAATCTGTGGATGGCTTTACAGGAGAACTACTTAAAAGGTTTCATCCAAAAGCTAAATCTTCACAGGTCTAGAGTTGCAGGGTTTTGGAAAACCCTCACTCTGACACTAGTAAAGCTGCTGCTTTGTGTTTTCACACACAGAGAAATATTTCTACCTTTTTCCAAAAGCTGGTAGTGTATTCTACCATTTAAGAATGGTGCCTTGGGCCTCTCACTACAGAAGAGAGCAATATGGCACAGCAGTCAGGTATGGAGACAACATAAACAGGGCAGCAAAATGCATAAGAGCTACCCTGCTCATCCTGGCAGGAGATGGCACCAGCAAAAACTGACCCAGAAAAGGTCTGAAATGTGACCTCGTTGGTCTGCAGGAGCACTGAGGCAAAGAGAGGCCAAACATTTTCAGTGGGATGTCAGAAATCTACACAGACCCTGAGGTGGGAAGGAATTGTGAAGGACAGAGACAATTGGGGCATCAAAACCATAGGGAGAGAGGCCTTCCCTTATGCCACAGGAGATAAGGCAATACAGTGATTGATTTTTCTCTAAAGCCTGCAGGAGATTTCTCACATATAGCCTCTCATGCAGACTAAGCCCTCCAGGCAGATAATCAGCACCTGAGGATGGAGCACAGGTCTGACCCTGATCAAAAGTGGGTCAAGCTGAAAATGCTTTGCAGGACAAGGCTTTGCCATGTGCAGCTGCCACAAAACCTCTCTCACTGTCACAGCAACCATGGCACTGTGACGGCTACCAGAGTGGCTTTCAGTTACATTTTCCCTCCTAATTCCACGTTAAATGAATTCTTCTCACTCAGATCCAAGTGACAGGGTGGTATCAGACTGAAGTCCAATGTTTTCGCAGTCCTTTGCTGGAGTAGCTCCAGGAACATCAAGCATCTCCAGAAGAGACAATGAGTCTATTCCTCCTTCCCATCTGCTAGCTCAGAGGTGACTCTGCTCTAGTTTTCAGAGAGTTTCTGTTTTGTTCTTCCAAGCAGAAACTTGACAGCAGAGTTTGCAATCAAACAGTGGTTCTGACACTTGGGGGTACACATTTGTAGATAAATGCTCTGGAGATTTTTAAGGTGAGCAGAATTAAAACCAAGCTGTCACATTTGCAGGTTTCCCCTCCCTAGAGAGCCAAACAATAAAGGGACCCTTTTTACTCCCTGAAACACAACAATATAAACCTTCTGCCCTACCTCTCCTCTTCCTCCCACTCTGACAAAGTTTGCTCTCCAAGGGTCAAATATGCAGGGACTCAGCTAACCTGGCACATCTTTCCAGTCATGGCACAAGCCTTGTATTTACCAACACTCTGAGGAAGCTGTCCTGGAAAGGTAGAATAAAGGTGGAAAAAAAGAAAAATCAGTGTAATAAAGGGGTTCCGCTCTGGGGGAGAGACAGAATCAGAAGATGAGTTTGTTGAACTGGTCAGGCAAGAGCATGGAAAAGCAGGTTGAGAACGTTCTGTAAGGATATTAATCTTCTGCTGAAATAATTATCTACCTGAATGCAGCAAGACTGATGGAGATAATCAATCAGCCCTAAAGTCTTCTCAATCCCATCAAGGTCATCAGTGGGAATTACCTGATCTCCCCATGTGATAGGAGAAAGTGCTCTAATCTCCAATAAGGCAATTTCACAACATCACTTCTGAGGTATAAAACCTCTTGGACTTTATTTGGCCCAGACATCTGCCTTTCCAAGCAGGATCATTTGTCTGAGGCAAAGAGGTCACTTGAAACTTTTCCAGAAAAAGGTATGAAGTGGTAACTCCCTGAACAAAACAGGTTTAATACGATTTAGTACCAAGTCTGCTCTAATCATAAATACTTTCTCCAGAGCACACAACTGAAAATTCTAATCACAGCCCTCTGCCTTTCTGTTAATTAACTGCTGCAGACAAGTTATGCCTTAAGAATTTCATGGCACTTAGACACGCACTGTGAAAATTACAGGGAAGAGTAAAGATGAACATCATGCAGGCCTCTGCACAGTTTGTTTTCCAGTATAGGTTTTATGGATCTTCCTCATATTCTGATTTCATTTTTTCAATGTCCTTTTATATTGATGCCCAAAAAGCTGCTGGTCAAAAAGTCTGGCTTGTTTTTTTTTCCTACTGATTTTCAATATTTATAAAGCATTTATTATCACAACACCTGAGGAACGGCATTGACTTTCAATCACTTTCTAAACTTCATTCTCTCAACCTTTGACTTCTCTCACCTAAATGAGGTAACCTGTCATTGTGGCATTTACCTAAATTAAAAGGTAAAAAGAGAGATAAAAATCTCCAAATCCAAAGCTTTTCAAATTTTCAAAGAAATGCATGCATCTGAAATCTTGAAGTCTTTCTACAGAGAATTCTTCAATTTTTTCCCTTCTACAAACCACAGTTCTCGCAACAAACTCTTTCCAGAGCAGTTCAGCCAGCCTTTCACCAGCAAGAGGCTGTGGCAGTGTCACACCCTGAACTCAGAGTAACTCTGAGAAATGCCTGGATGGCTCAGTCCCTGAGAAGGGCACCACATCCCCATGGGGGTGGTTTAGCAATCACTTAATGATTCATGCCACCGAACAGTTGTTGATTAATAAAGCCTTTAATTCATAACCAGTTAATATGCGACGAAAGGAAAAGGGGGATTTCAATTATGCAAGTATTTAAAACATTTACAGATATCTTTTTCCAGTGAAAAGTGCAAGAACCAATGAGGTAAATTACCCTCTCATCGTGTCTCAGCCAGCTGTAGTATCAACAGCCTTCAAGCACCCTTATTTTGAAAAGCCAGAGCTGCTGTGTAAACCTACTGAAGCACAGCCAGCCAACAGACCATTCACTGTTTGTATATTTGCTTTGGACTGTTTAAAGAAGCAATATTAGCCCTTTCATCTGAGACAGGAAATATTTTTCATTTCATAAAAGCTAAATAAAATCACAAGTGACATGAGTTACTTGATGCTCTGAGCAAATAAGGTGCAGTTTTTCCTGACAACAC